CTGGGGTAGGAGCCAGGCAATAAAAGTTTTTAAACATCCTCAGGTGATTCCAATTTGCAGCAAAGTTGTGAACCGTTCTAGCCCAGCATTGAGCAAATGATGGTCCACAAGTCAAATCCTGCATTTTTGGAAACAAAGTTCTATTGGAACACAGCCATGCTCATTTGTTTACATATTGTCTTGCTTGCTTTCACACTTCAGCGGTAGAAATCAGTAGTTGTGAAAGAGACCGTATGGCTCACAAAGACTAAAATATTTAGTATCTAGCCTTTTTCTCAATAGAAAAAGATAAAATCACAATGAGGTGTAATCTCACTCCAGTTAGAATGGTTATTATCAAAAGGACAAAAAATAACAAATGCTAGCAAGGATGAGGAAAATGGGGAACTCTTATACTGTTGGTGGGAACGTAAATTAGTTCAGCCATTATGGAAAACAGTAAAATGATGCCTCAAAAAACTAAAAATAGAACTATGATGTGATCCAGCAATTCCACTAGTAGGTAAATATCCAAAGGAAAGGAAATCAGTACATCAAAGGGATACATGTACCCCATGTTTACTGTAGCACTAGTCGCAATAGCCAAGGTATGGAATCAATCTGTGTCCATCAACAGACGAATGGATAAAGCAAATTTGGTATATATGCACAATGGAATACTATTTAGCCATAAAAAGAATGACATTCTATCATCTGCAGCAACATGGATGAGATTGAAGAATATTAAGTGAAATGAGCCAGGCACAGAAAGATAAATGCTGCATGTTCTCACTCATAAGTAGAAGCTAAAAAAAGCATTGATCTCATGGAGGTAGAGAGTAGAATAGTGGTTACTAGAGGTGGGGATGGGTAAGGAGACAGAGGAATAACTAAAGATTGTTAACGAATACAAAAGTACAGCAGGATAGGAGGAATACATTCTAGTGTTCTATAGTACTATGGAGTGACTGTAATTAACAATAATTTATTATATATTTTCAAATAGCTAGAAGAACAGATTTTGAATGTACACAAAGAAATGATCAATGTTTGAGGTACTTGGTATGCTAATTACCCTGGTTTGATCATTACACCTTGTATACATGTATGGAGGTATACTGTAGTCCATAAATAGGTATAATTATTTATTTAGTTAATTTATTTATTTTGAGATGGAGTTTCGCTCTTGTGCCCAGGCTGGAGTGCAATGGTGCGATCTCGGCTCACAGCAACCTCGGCCTCCTGGGTTCAAGTGATTCTCCTGGTTCAGCCTCCCGAGTAGCTAGGACTACAGGCATGTGCCACCACACCGGCTAATTTTGTATTTTTAGTAGAGACAGGGTTTCTCCATGTCTCTGCTAAGACATAGAGAGGTTTGGTCAGGCTGGTCTCAAACTCCTGACCTCAGGTGATCCGCCAGCCTCGGCCTCTCAAAGTGCTGGGATTACAGGCATGAGCCACTGCACCCGGCCAATAGGTACAATTAACATGTGTCGATTTTAAAAAGATAAAACAAAGGGGGATAGAGTCTATTTGTTAGCTCTTTTGTGCAAGATTTTGCTATAGTTTACTGTTTCTAGAAGGCTTTGCTTTATTAAGAAAACTACTCCCTTGGCTGGGCTCAGTGGCTCATGCCTGTAATCCCAGCACTTTGGGAGGCCGAGCCTAGCAGATTGCCTGAGGTCAGGGGTTCAAGACCAGCCTGGCTAACATGGTGAAACCTCATCTCTAATAAAAATACAAAAATTAGCTGGGTTTGGTGGCACATGCCTGTAGTCCCAGCTATTTGGGAGGCTGAGGCAGGAGAATCACTTGAACCCAGGAGTTGGAGGTTGCAGTGAGCTGAGATGGCACCACTGCACTCCAGCCTGGGTGACACAGCAAGACTCCATCTCAAAAAAAAAAAAAAAGAAAAAGAAAAAAAAAAAAGGCTACTCCCTTTTACTCCCCACCCTGCTACAGCCCAAATGTGTTGTTTTTCTAAACTAATGTGATATTTGGAAAGCTGTAATTCCCAGCAAATTAATTCAACAAGTATTTACTAAGCTTCTACTATGTGTTAGGCATTTGAGATACTTTATGGAGAAAAGGGACAAAATGCCATGACTGTTAGGAGTTTTTATTCTAGTTGGGTCAGGAAGGGTAAAACACAGCTCAAACACATTAATTATGTAAAAGACACACTAAATTAAATGGTAATAATTTCTATGGAGAAAAATAAAGCAGGAAAGTCCTTGTGAGATGGTGACATTTGAGCCATGTCACCAAGGAAATAACAGTGAGCCATGAAAAAATCTGAAGGAAGAACTGCACTCCAGGCAGAAAAAACTGACACGTGCAAAGAGGTCTTGGTGGTGCATGCCTGGTGTGTCTGTATGGAAAGCAACAGGGACGCATGTGGCTGGAGCACAGTAAATCAGGCAGGAGTATAGGAGGACAAGCAGTCTTAGAGAGAACATGCTACCAGATTATTTAGGGCCCATAGGCTATTGTAATGACTCTGGCTTTTAAGAAAAAGATGGGAAACCAGTGGGGGCTTTGAGTATCCAGGGGTGTGATCTGTATTTTGACAGGCTCACTCCAGCTGCTGTTGAGAACAGACTGAAGAAAGCCAAGGACAGACTCATGGAGACCTCTTAAGAGTCAACTGCAAAATTCCAAGCACAGGTCATGGTAGATTAGAACAAGAAGTGAGTCGTGGAGGTAGTAAAAATGGAAGCCCAAAGGTTATTCTCATTCCAGCTTCTAATTAGTGTCAGTTCCTCTCAGATTCTGGCATATTTGTCTTGGTTTTGTAAAGTTTTCTTAATTTTTGATTTTCATGATTGTTAGATACCATTCTGAATTAGATATTGTCCTGAATATTCAATTGTACCTAATTATGATCCTATAATTAATATGCTTAAAACATGGCAGATGCTTGGTAAATTCTTACAATGAATGTGTATCTTAAAGGGTTTGGGTAGAATGAAGCAGATTTATCTTCACAAGCCTGTTTTCAGGACCACATTTCTATTATTATTGCTTTTCTCTCTATTATTAGCATATACACCCATACTTTAGCTACTTGTGTTCATTAGGCTTAATTAGGAGATGGATGGTGGATTTGTATAGTTTAATTTTAACCTTAATACTCAGTCTTTCTTATTAAGGGTTTCACTTTAGAATGTGTGTGTGTGTGTGTGTGTGTATGCATGTATATATACATATGTAATCAAAATCAGATATGTTCAAAAGTAAAATTATTTCCCAGAAATTCATAATTACAAAGGTAAGCTCATATAAATTCACTGAAGAATGATAAACAAATAAATAAGGAGATGAACTGACTCATGAAGAAAACTTCAAAGACAGTTTGAAAAAGTATTAAGTTGGGTAAAATTATTTGCAGGTAAGATTTTTACATGGAAAATAATCTATCACTTGAAAAACTATTACTTACTATGAAGTGGTTCGGCACAAAATAAATATGTGGAAATGGAATGCACATATAAACAACAAGATCTTCCCTTAGAGGATATAATGGAAGGAAGATTCACATAAAATTACAGTAACTGATAAAACACCTGGAAATAAACCTACCTCTGGCTGCACATTAGAATCATGGCTGGAGGGACTGACCAGCAAGACAACAGTAATAGAACAGCAGGCCCAGGCTCTCTCAGAAGCTCTAATCAACTGGTATAGCGTAGGGCCTAGAGGGTATTTTTTAAAGTCCCTGCTTTTCAAATTTTTTTACAAAAAAATTGATCTATATGAAGAAAACTTAGACTACTACTGAGGGATATAAAAGAAGACTAGAATAAAGGGAAAAACATACTAATTCTTTAGAATGACTATCATAAAGAATTAAGTACTCTCTAAAGTAGGCTATACATTTAATGATTTCATTTAAAAGGCCAACAGAACTTTTCATTTTTGTTACTAGACAGACTTATTCTAAATTTGTATGGAAAAATCAAGAGTTGCTAGGAAGGACAATTCTGAAAAAAGAAAACTATTGCAAAGGGACTAGTCCTACCAGACTAAAAAAATAGACTGGTCTGGCTGGGTGTGGTGGCTCATACCTGTAATCCCAGCACTTTGCGAGGCTGAGGCAGTCCGGTTGCTTGAGTTCAGCAGTTTAAGACCAGTCGGGGCAACATAGCGAAACCCTGTCTCTATAAAAATTTTAAAAATTAGCTGGGTTTTGTGGTGTGTGCCTGTGGTCCCAGCTACTAAGGAGGCTGAGGTGGGAGGATCACCTGAGCCTATGAGATTGAGGCTGCAGTGAGCAGTGATTGTGCCACTGCATTCCAGCCTGAGTGACAGGGCAAGACCTTGTCTCAAAAAAACAAAAACAAAACAGAAACAAAAAACCAGAATGGTCCAGTGCAAAATAAACTGTTCAGAAATGGCGTAAGTATAAATGGGACTTTGGTATAGATAAAAATGACATTGCAAATCAATGGGGGAAAAGATAACGTATTCAACCAAAGGTATTATATGATGAAGCGCCATTTTTACCAATGGGAGAAGAGACAGTTTACTCAATAAAAGATCAATGGGTAGGCATATTAAAAAAAAACAACTAAAGTTAGATTTCTAATATGTTTAATATGTTCCAGCTGTGTCAAAGATCCAAAGGTGAAAAATAAAATTCTAAGAGAAGACAAGTGGAGGCTGGGCGCAGTGGCTCACACCTGTAATCCCAGCACTTGGGAGGCTGAGGTGGGCAGATCACCAGGTCAGGAGATCAAGACCATCCTGGCTAACACAGTGAAACCCCGTCTCTACTAAAAAATACAAAAAATTAGCCGGATGTGGTGGTGGGTGCCTGTAATCCCAGGTACTAAGGAGGCTGAGGCAGGAGAGTCACTTGAAACCAGGATCGTGTGATTGCACTCCAGTCTGGGTGACAGAGCGAGACTCTGTCTTAAAAAAAAAAAAAAAAAAAAAACAAAAACCAAGTGGAGAAGGCCATTCTAAATATGATATAAAATCCTAAAAGCCACAAAAGCAAAGATTTGTAAATTTTGCATTAATATTTTTAATTGGCAAATCATAATTGTATATACTTATGGGGTACAAAGATTCATAAATTTGCTTACATGAAAATAAAAATTTCTACGTGTCAAAAAATATCAGAACAAAGTCAGAAGACAACTGACAATGACAAACTGGAAAGAAAATATTTGCAGGATCTCTTACAAAAAGCTAATATCTAAAGCACGCCTGTAATACAAAACAAAGACCAACAACCAACAGAAAAATAGGCAAAGAATAGAAATAGGAAAGGCCATGGTAAAGCAGATTCCAATGGCTGTTAAATACATGAAAATATGATCTACCTTACTCATCATAAGAAAAATAAAAACAGAATATTTGGCAAAGGATAAGAAGACGTGCATTGATGGTGAGATTATCAGTTAGTATACCTTCTTTAGAGGTAATATGTAGTATCTAGTGTAATTTTGCTAAATATAGTCTTGACTCAGTAATTTCACCTCTAGATATCTACTGTTAAGTGAAAAAAAAAAAAGGAAAAAGCAGCAACACGCAGAACAATGTGTGCAGTATGTTACCATTTGCGTAGGGGGAAAGGAATATATACATTTGGTTATAAATTTGTGGCCAATCTCTAAAAATGTGTAAGCAGGTGGTTTCAGTACTTGCTTCTTGGAGGGGGAACTGGATGGCAGGGAAGACAGAAAGGATAGAGACTTCATGATCACTGTTAACCCTTTTGTACCATTTGAAGTTTTTACCCTGTATATATATTACCTATTAAAAAAAAAAACAGTAGTAAAATCAGGTACATCCAGGGTTTACATCCCGTTAAATACTCCAGATACTCCCATGAAATACATCCAAACAGTCCCATCAAATACAAATAACTCATCAAGCACCATCAAATGCTCACACACAACTGTTTTATGATAAATATTATTACTATTACAATATTTTATATTCTCTATTATTTAAAGGAATATAACTGTTACAGTATTTGCTTCAATCCTTTTGATACTTCCACTAAATTGTTAGAAGTTATACAAAGGTATACATAATAACCATTTTTGAAAATACGTGATTTTATAATCATTGGCATTTTATCTTAAAATACACTACATTCTTACAAAGTAATGAAAAATTGGTAATTATTATTATTTTATTTTTATTTATTTGACATGGAGTCTCACTCTGTCGCCAGGCTGGAGTACAGTGGTGCGATCTCAGCTCACTGCAACCGCTGCCTCCCGGGTTCAAGTGATCCTCCTGCCTCAGCCACCTGAGTAGCTGAGACTACAGGTGTGTGCCACCATGCCCAGCTAATTTTTGTATTTTTAGTAGAGACGGGGTTTCACCATGTTGGCCAAGATGGTCTTGATCTCTTGACCTTGTGATCTGCCTGCCTCTGCCTCCCAAAGTCCTAGGATTACAGGTGTGAGCCACTGCACCTGGCCAAAACTTGGTAATTATTAAAACTGTTTCATTTAAAATACATAATTATGATCTTGTGATATATATGTATCTCTAGAACATTATTTTTAAACTTTTTGTTCAAACTGCTCTTGGATTCATACGCGTTTTAAGCCACTGATCGATTGCACTTTCATACTTCCTTGGTTCTTTCTGCCAGTCCTGATGCCACCTAAGATTTGCAATAACGTTTGAATAATTCTGTCCTATACTTTGTTTCCACTTGATAAACTGCTCTTTATTATACTGGTGGACAGAAGCAGAAACTTTAGGGTAGTTTATAATGGAACGAAGCTTCTGATCCAAAGAATAAGTAATTTCTGGAAATTTTACAGCAACATTTGTTAATTCATCTGGATCTGAGGAAAGATCTGAAAGAAAAAGATTAAATATCTGTCAAAATAGTGACCTGCCAAAAAAGTTTAGAATGTCATCATGACAGGTAATGTATTAGATTTCTAAAAAGATTTTCAGTTCCTGTTAGTGTAATAAAATGAAGGACAGTATAAATGGTAAAATAACATACCAGGAGTTAAACACCCTATGTTGCATGCCCAAATTCCCTCCTTCCTACCATTGTCCAGCTATCCCACTTCTTTTTTCTTTTCTCAAATGCCAGAAAAAGTCAACCTTTTATCATTAGTAAGCTGGTTTAGAACAAGTTCTTCCTGTTTTTGATGTCCTGCCTACTTTGACGGGCAGAAATGAATATAGCAATGCTTATACTGTACTGTTTCAACAGCCTCAAACTTTCTACAAATTCTTTATATAGACAAGTCATGTTCCTGCAACTTTACTTACTCCTAGTTTTCTTTATATATTAGTATCTTATGCTTGGAGTTTTGAAAGTTACATTCATCAGTACGGTCCATTTGAACAAACAGCCATGGAAATACAAACTTCTCAATCACTGCCCACAAGAAAATAATGATAAATATTTCAGATCCATAAATATACTTTTTAGATATCCTAAAAAGGATTCCTACACAGATATCCTATCCCTGTGTAGGAAGACAGGGATATAACTAGGATACCAATCTAATTGGAAAAACAGCAAGTCAGAGATCTTATGACAATTAACTTCAGATAGTAAATGAACACTGTGTGTTGAGGGAAAATCCCCTATGGCCTACTTAAGTACATTAGCCAAGAGGCCCCTGAAGAGATATGTGACTTTGCTAGGTAATTTCAGATGGCATATCTTTAGGAAAGGGAAATCAATAAGCCCTAAAAAGTACAGAAAAGCTGATTCCCCACTTCTGACATTTTGATAGTCACATCAGTTTTTTGGTAGAACATGGTATAAAAAACAAAATTTCAACAAATTTAAAGATCAAATTGGCTTTTATTTAGTGATTCATGAATTGGGCAGCATTCCATCTGAAAATTTAGAAAAGGCATTCTGATGAGCTGAGCAGAGGAGGTGGGCTTTATAGGAAGAAAAAGGCTGACGAAAAAGTCCCAGAAACATGGAACAAAAAGCAGATTCGTCATTATAGTGTTACTTTATCCAGTAAAAACAGAGGAAACTTCCTTATGCTGGTTCAGGTAAAATGAGCCCCTTCAGGTTGGTTATTGTGATTCTCCTTTTTTTTTTTTTTTTGCTAAAGTGGCCCGCTCTAAAGTTCAGTTTGATTATGGGGCACCTAACTGTCAGTGACCCCATTCTGGTTTGACTTGGTTGGTTGAGCCTGGTGTAGGAACTCAGTTCAAAACAATGGCCTCCCATAAATTTCATTTGAGAATGGCCAATGAACAAGCAAGAGATGCACATTATTCATCAGGATGAAAATGTCAAGACTTCCTTTTTCAGCCAAGAATCCTCCACTCTTAAAGTGAAGGGGGTTGGCCAGTTTGGCTCCCAAAGTATTATTTTGATAATAATTTTGCTATTTGTAACTGGGAAGGAGCCTTAGGGAGAAATAAATATTACTAATGGCTTTAGCACATATTTTATGTACCAAATGGGGCAAAGGATAAGTAAAACCCTAAATCTAAAAATGCTGTTTAAAAATTAATTCATAGAGTAGTAAAGCTGGCAGACATTTTTTAGAAGTCATAAGAAGTATCAATTTTGCAGTTACAGCTTCATTGAAATCTCAGTTCTGCTGCTTCTTAGCTGTGAGACCTCACACAGGTATCCAAATTTCTGTGACTCCTAGTCTCCTCTGTAAAATGAGGATAATGGCACTATCTTGTGGGGTTGTGGTGAACATTAAATAATATATGCAAAATGCCAGCCTTCATAAGATAGTTGTTAATCCTTCAGAACAATGAGGTACAACGAGGTGTTGACTTCTAATTGGGAAAGATAACCATGAGTACTGAAAGATACCCTGATCAGAGGAAACTGGTTTCAGTTATGAGACCCAGATCAAAAGCCTTAGGATGCTTTCTCTGAAATTCAGCTGCTGATCTGCAAAGAGGCTATTCCTCACACGGGCAACCCTTTGTAGATAGTCCTAGCATGACAAGCAGCAGATGATATTCATTTATTTAACAAGGATTATTGGATATCTTGAGCAATGCTACATAGGGCAGTTCATTACACATAATATTACACTTAAAAATCTATTAACACATTTACCAAAGAGTTGAGGCAATACTGAAGCACCATCCGAGTAGGCTATATACTTCCAGTGGTTAGTTCGAAGCATGTAGGTGGAGGCATTCACATTACATCCATGGAATTCACTTAGAATCCAGGGCGGATGCAGGTTTTTGAGTTTATGTTCATTCTTAAATGTTTCTGATGATAATGGCAACAAAGAATATCCACTCAGGTTCTGAGGCAGACGAATTCCAGCAATATCTATGTAACAAAAATAACCAAATATCTTAAAATAGCTCATTCTTTTATTAGCTGAACATTCACAAATGGCATCATTCACATTTTTTTCACACCATTAAATGCCATGGAGACTGGAGATTGTATATGGATTTTGTAAACAGACTGCCAAGATTCACATGCTTACCCCACTGGCCATGTGGACTTCAGCAAGGCATTTACTTATCTCAACCTCAGTTTTCTCGTCTGTAAGAAGGGGATGACCATAGTACTTGTATTTATTAGGTTCATTTTAGGTTTAAATAAGATACTTTATGTAAAATTCTAAGAACTCTGAGAACAATGCCTGGCAGATAGGAGCCTTCAACAAATAGTTAATATCACTAGTCCTTTTTCCTCTAAATGATTAAATAATCATAGTTGTTTCTCAAAGTTTCTTTCATGAGATATTAACAAGACTTATATAAGAAAGGGGTTTAGTAGTCATATATGTTTGCAAAACAATGGTTAAACAAAATTAAATACATAGATTTGTTGTAGATGTAAATTTATTGCTGATGTATATGATAAACCTTCAGGAGTGGTATATAGTATACCATGAGCCCCAAAGTTATTTGATAACAGAGCTTTTTAAACTTTCAAGTAGCATCTTGAGGGACTAGCATCTTGAAAAACATACTTTCAGGAATTGTGGATTATATTTATAAAGGGAAAAATTATTTTTAACTTACCAGATATAGACATATAGAACAATGGCATGAGAAATGCTCAACTGAAAAATAGCTTATACTTTAAAAAATTGCTTTCAAGGTAACTGGACCTTAAACTTCCCTCTTCCTATAGAAAAATTACCATTAATTATGTGTGCGTAGTCAGGGCTATTTCACAATGAGTCTGCAGTTGTCTTCCTCAGCCCTTTTCTGGTTTCAATGTTCGTATTTTATGCATAAATATTTCCAATGGAAAATAGAATTATATCTATAATGTTAGAAATGAAACAAAGTTGAAAAAGAAAATTAATTTAACTCGACTGTCTTTGACAAAAACAGATTAATTAAAGGATAATAGGGAAGTAGACAAAGACCACTATAAATCTTCTGAAGGTAGTTGTTTCATATATAACTTAATAAAAAAAAGTTTGTATATTCCATTTTCCTTGGAAGAAGACTATCACAAGTATTAATTTTCTGCCAACCAATCAAAATTAGTGACTTTTTTTTTGTTGTTCAGAGATAAGGAAAGAAAGAAGAGAGGAGTATTTCAGAGATGACTGGTTAAAAACAAAAAGAGGAGAAAAGAGGTTAAAGAGGATGTGCCCGGGAGAGAAGCGTTGCCTGGGTCAAACTAACTGTGCTCCAAGACACAGAGACTACCTACTGTAAGCAGTGGAAAGAAGGCAGTGTGGGAAGAGGCTGGGTAAGCGTGGTCTGTGTGTCAGTCACCAGGAGGCACCACCAACAAGGCATGGGAAGAGAGAGAAGTAGTCTTTAAAGAAGTTTGGGAAGCAGGAACCAACGGGCACATACTCATGACTATGAGTTCTTGTATTCAGCACTTTAATAACTCTTAATACTTAGAAATGCCTTATTTTAGGACCATTCTTAATTTTCCTAAGGAAGCTTGGAAGACTAAGAAACTTACGTTTCTCCTGTGTTTATGAGAAGTCAGTAGTAAACTGGGTAAGAGTCCATTCAAGTGTTCATTTTAAAAATTCATTCAGCAAACCAGGTGCTGTTCTAGCTGTAGGGAAACGACACTGGACAACGCAGAAAAGCTCTCCCAGAGCTAACATTCTAATGTGGGCAGACAGAAACAGCTGTGTCAGATGGTGGTAAGTGCAATGAAGAAGAAGAAAGCAGGGTAAGGGAGACAGAGAGTGATGACAGGCATGTGGGTATGTGCTGTTTTATATAGGGTGGTCAGGGAAGGCCCCACTCAGAAGATCACATTTAGGCAGTGTCCCGAGGAGCGGTTAGAGTGAGCCCCACAGTTATCTGGCAAAAGGGCACTCCCCCCGGGGAATAGCAAGTATACAGTCCCCAAGGCAGGAACCTACTTGGTTTATTCCTCAAACACCAAGCAGGACTGTTAGGCTGGAGCAGAGTAAGAGGGATAAAATTATAAGAGATGAGTTGGGGAAGAGAAGAGATCATGTTGGACTCTCAGAGCCTAATTAAAGACACTGAATTTTTACTCTAGGTGAAATGGGAAATCAGTAGAGGGTTTTGAGCAGAGGTGTGACAATCTGACACTAACTATGGAATGGTGAATTGACTAAAAGTGAGTAAGAGCAGAAGGTCAGAGAGAGTTAGGAAGCTACTGCAGGAATCCAGGCAAGAGATAAGGGGAACTTAGGATTCCAGTCTATTATTGATAGAATAAAATAACTTTGTAAATTGAAAAAACCCATGTGAAATATCCATAATATTTAATAAATACTTCAAGTATTTATTGGTTTTTCTGTGCCTCAGAAAATTGGGTTTTCATTTTTCATATATTTATCAATAATTTCCTTAAAAACACTTTAGCTTAGACTGCTTTTCAAAAAGCTGTTTGATTTTTATTTAAAATTATTTTTCATATTTATTTTTCCTGGCAAACCTGTCATTCTAACTGCATTTTAAATAAGTTTCATCTTTCGTGGGAGTATAAGCACAGACTAGAAGTAACTGCAGGGTTCTTAAGAAAGTGACTTAAATGTAAAACAGTAAACCAATGGTAAAAATGCAGGCCTGGATATGTGTAATGATCTCCTGAAGAGAGATGATATTATATTTCTTCTTGACCATATCAGTACATAATGGATTTGAGTGGTATGGCAATGATGCAAACTAATATACACATTTTTTAGAGCATACCTAAAAAGAATGAAACATATTAATGATAACCATATCTAACATTTAATTGTTTACTATGTTCCAGGCATTGTTCTGAGCTATGAAATAGCCACTATTACCCCTATTTTTTTTTTTTTTTTTGAGACAGAGCATCACTCTGTTACCCAGGCTGGAGTGTAGTGGCGCAATCTTGGCTCACTGCACCCTCCGCCTCCCAGGTTCAAGTGATTCTCTTGCCTCAGCCTCCTGAGTAGCTGGGATTACAGGCACACGTCACCACGCCTGGCTGATTTTTGTATTTTTAGTGGAAACAGGGTTTCACCATGTTGACCAGGCTCGTCTTGAACTCTTGACCTCAAGTGATCTGCCCACCTTGGCCTCCCAAAGTGCTGGGATTACAGCCGTAAGCCACCACGCTTGGCCTATCCCCATTTTTACTGATGAGAAAACTGAGGACCAGACATGTTGAGTAACCTGCCCAAGGTTACGCAGTTGGTAATGAGTGAAGAGGGGTTTGAACTTAGGCAGTCTGACCTTACAATATCTGTACTGTTTAATACTACACCATAAGACTTGCCTCACTGTAGTAGCTAACTTCATAATATTCCTCAGCCAATAAAAACACAAGAATCTATGCAAAACACCTGCCAACCCCCAGGCTTCCACTAAGGTCCTGTAACAAGAAGGGTTTTGAAATTTAAATCACTAGCAATGAAACATTCTTTTAACTACAACTGCATTTTTATATAATCACATTCTCAAAATTAAAAAAATCTAGACTTATCTTTTAAGTGGAGAAAGGCAGGTGTTTTACAGAAAGACTATCAGAGAAAACAATTCACATGAAAATAAGCTTAAAAATAAAAATCAAAACAATTTTAACTACAAAACGAGACACCTTTAGTTCTTACTGAGCTAAAGGATGCTGATACAAGGTATTAGAGAAGAAAATATTTTGGGAAGTAATTTTTAAATAATCTCAGAAATAATATCAACTTTAACGTTAATATTATAAAGAATTCCTATTCATAAATGTCATTTTTCTGCTGGTATTAGGAAATAATAATGTAATAGTATCCTATCACACTAGTGATAGAATTAGTTTATTTGATCCAAAAGCACAAATAAACTAAGCACATTCTTCCTAATTTATCATAAAATATTTTATTTAAAAAACCACTCTTTTAAAATACCTTTTAAAAAATGACTTATAAATTCAAACTTTTAAATAAAGCATTGTTGCATCTTAAATTTCAATAGCCTCTTGATAGTAAGGTAGGTTTATTAAAACAGGAATTCCAATTGGTTTTTCCTATTCAGTATCTTTCTATTGAATGTAGAATAACCATCTTGTATACATTTCTAAGATGCATAGAATGGAAGTGAGGAGGAAATATCGCTTGAGGTTTTGGGTTGAGATTTTTTTTTTTTTTTTTTTTTTGATACCAGAAGTGTTTATTTCTGTTCAACAGACATTTCAGGATTTTAATTTCATTTTTAGTTTCCAGAAGACTCAAATATTTTAAAACTCAAATATACTATAAGCAAAGTTTATCCTTGAAAAATCAATTTCAAAACAAATTTTTCTCTTTATATCATTTTTCTTTATAAGCTTCTCCTCTGTGTGTGTGTAAATGGGATTCACACAAAATAATATAGCTACTGCTAAGCTAATAAGAAAGGACTTTGGGAGCTCTAAGAATAGATACTGGCTTATATCTACTTTAAGTTCCTAATTGGTTAGAACAAAATAAGAAGTCCTTTGTAGATGTTTTATCAAAACATGTATAAGTTTGTTTATTAAGCAGAAGTAGAACATAGTGTCTCACAGGTCTAATTTTAGAGTTAATCACTAATAAAGTAGCTTTAAACTCTTCCAGCACTGAGGAATTTTATCTTAAAAGGTAGAATGATCCATCAGATTAAATGTAGACCGTCAGAATGATCTTTGTTTTGCTGGCTCCTAAGGCTGTTAAATAAAGAACAGCCTCACTTTCTGCCTGTTAATGCTGTTTCAATTGTTAATAGTACTCTAAAACTTGCTAATTTGGACAGTAAATTAGATGGACACAATATCTAAAAAGGAAACAAAACAAAACACAAACATCAATTTGTACAGTTTTAAAGCCTTCATTTTCTTTTTAATACATGGGGGCAATTTTCACATATTTCACTTTTTAAAATTAATTGACTTTTTCTTTTCAACGTTTTAGATTCAGTGGGTATGTGTGCAGGTTTGTTCCCTGGGTATATTACTTGATGCTGAGGTTTGGGATATGAATGATTGCATCACCCAGGTACTGGGCATAGTGCCCAACAGTTTTTCAACCTCTGGCCCTCTGGCCCCCTCCCTCCCTCCTTCTCCCTTCTAGTAGGCCCTAGTGTTTCTTGTTGGCATTTTTACGTCTGTGAGTAACCAATGTTTAGTTCTCACTTATAAGTGAGAACATCCAGTATTTGGTTTTCTGTTATTGTGTTAATTTTCTTAGGATAATGGCCTCCAGCTCCATTCATGTTGCTGCAAAGGCCATTATTTCATTTTTGATGGCTTTGTAGTATTCCACGGTGTATATGTGCCACATTTTCTTTATTTGGTCTACCACTGATGGGCACCTGGGATGATTCCATGCCTTTACTATTGTGAATAGTGCTGCAAGTGCATGTCTTTTTGGTAGAATGATTTATGTATTTTTTGGTATATATCCAGTAATGGGATTGCTGGGTCTAATGGTAGCTGTTTTAAGTTTGTTGAGAAATCTCCAAACTGCTTCCCACAGTGGCTGAACTAATTTACACTCCCACCAACACTGTATAAGTGTTCCCCTTTCTCTGCAGCCTCACCAACATCTGTTGTTTTTTGACTTTTTAATAATTGCCATTTTGACTGTTGCGAGATGATATCTCATTGTGGTTTTGATTTGCATTAGAATTGCCTATTTTTTATCCAATCCATTACTACTAGATATTCATACTGTTTCTAATTCTTAATATAGTAATAAATATCCATGGAGATAAATACTTGTGTATATCTACAGGTTATTTCCTAAAATTAGGATTTCTAGGTCAAAACGTATGCACATTTCTAAGAAATTTGAAATGTAATGCCACATTTGCCTACAAAACATTTGTATCGGTTTATATTCCCAGTAGCAGCACATGAGAAAGACTATTTCTAATATAAGATTTTCTAATTCTTCTTAACCTTTGCAAACTTTATATGTGAAAGAAGAATATTTTTCTCTTTTAATATTTTTATGACCACTGACTTTGATTCTTTAAAAATATATTGGCCATTTGTGTATATTTTCTGTTGTGAATTGCTTATTTTGATCCATCTGTTAATAAGTTATTCCTCTTCTTCTTACAGATTTATAAGAGCTCTATGAATATTACACCTTTATCATTTATAAAAAAATTAACTTAAGTAAATAATTGTGTTACAATGTTGTCTCCTGGCTCCAGCATAAGGCTCTTTTGCATTGTTCTCTTTCTACCCTTATCACTGGTTAACATCTGGTTAATAGAACGTTTCAGTGTTTTATATAAAGACCCGTCCATAGGTATTCTCCTCCACTCACTCTTCCCCAACTAAAAAAAATCATTTAAATGTAGCTTTCCTTCATCTGATAATAAAAATAATATTTATTGTGAAACACATTATAAACTGTGCTAAGCAATGAAGATGTTAATTTTTCAGTTTAGAATTGGAGAGATTTATTTTTGACTTTATTTCCTTTACTCTTATTGGGAAGGTCTAATCAACACATGATCTAAATGCTGTTAATAAAACATATTCTGCAGGGAACTGTGACTCAGAAGGAGTCTATTACCAAGAATCTTATGAAAAATAACAATCTATATAAAACTATAGTTTTAGAAAATTATTTTTTCTAAAATAATTGACAAATTGCAGGAAAAAACCTACAGTTGCAGGGAATTTACATCATTTACAGAAGAGTAGGGATGGAATTTAGAGGAGCTTCTGAGACAGTATTTTCTTAGCTAGAGAAATTCTTATTAGCAAGTAACATAAATTAGGCAGTGATAGGTGGATGTATGAGAATTTCCCCATTCTAACAAATTTTATTTAGCATTTTCTTATCTGACCTGTTAAATTATGAAATCTGCTAGTTTGCAGATGACCTTTAACTTTTACAATGTATAAAATGGCAAGAAGTAATAATGGCATCTTCTCAAGATTGTAGAGTACAAAATTTGCATTGTGGGCAAATATAAAATAACGTTTAAAGAAAAATGATTTAAACCATGCATTTTAATTAACTGACATATATGATGACAGAATGTCTAAGAATTGAATAGGGCTCACTGTAGACAACTCCCTAAAGATGTTTAACTATTTAGCTGCTAGAGTCAAATAGATAAAATGGCAACTATCACTATGAAATATATTCAGGGAAAAGTGGAGAAAGAATCACCCCAGCTTTCCATAATCTTTTACAATACCTTCTTGCAGTTTTGGTCACTATACCTCAAGAAAACAGAATGAGGCTAAAAAGTCAAGCAAAGATGACCCTAGGAAGATTTTCTTTGGGAATGGGGAGGGTAGAGAGAGTTCTACAAGAAGAAAAATTAAGGAAGGAAACTGTAAAGAATATAGGCATATATTCATAAAACTCTAAAGATGCTAATAGCAGAGACCCAAATATACATAATTCTATATAAACTTCTTTAAAAAACACAGAAATGAGGAAAAGTATAGTGATCGGCTAGAAACTAATAGAATGAGAAAGTGGCCAAGATATGGCTGAGTGTGATCATTACTTTGGGATAAAGGGAAACCAGCAAATGATGACTAAGAAACAGGAGAGATTAAAAATTCAAGGAACTGGCCGGGCACAGTGGCTCACGCCTGTAATCCCAGCACTTTGGGAGGTTGAAGTGGGCAGATCATAAGGTCAGGAGTTTGAGACCAGCCTGGCCAGCATGGTGAAACCTCATCTCTACTAAAAATACAAAAATTAGCTGGGCATGGTGGCAGGTGCCTGTAATCCCAGCTACTCAGGAGGCTGAGTCAGGAGAATCGCTTGAAACTGTTAGGCGGAGGTTGCAGTGAGCTGAGATCGCGCCACTGCACTCCAGCCTGGGTGAAAGAGAGAAACTCCATCACACGCACACAAAATAAATAAATAAAAATAAAAAAGTTCAAGAAACTGGAAAGAAGTATGTTCAATTATATGAGAAGGATATGAAATAAGAGAAAAGGAAAGGACGCCGGTTTAAATTGACTCTAAATAAATTTAGTTAAGGGAAGAACTTTGCGGCAGAAGGAAGGAGATAAAAAGAACTCTGATTTCTTTGATTTTAAGATGCATCTTTCTTTCATATTTTAACATTTCTGAAATTAGAGAACATATCTTGTGCTATTTTCTTTCACCAAAATTTATGAATTGATGGTAGTTTTGCAATTGATGGTGCCTTAGAACAGAGAAACTGGTGTTTAAATGCTAATGAATTTAAAGTACTCTGCTAAATTAGATAGAAACTAGAAGTTAGTTCTATGATTTCCTTTGAATTTGATTATGTCGTTATTCTAGTATCTTCAACAAAAACTGCTAACTACCATTATCCATATGTTGCTTTTCTAGACATATGGCTATGCTTGTAGACATTAAGAAGCTAGTAAAGCAAATAGTACAGAACTATCTAAAGAGTCTGAGGAGGAATATGTTCATACTAGTTTCAAAGTGGATAGAATAATTCAGAAAGGAAATGCTTACATTTTAGGGAGGTGGTGGTAGAGAATCAAATGATGTACAAATCATATCTATAAGGTTAAGAACCTGAATGTCTTACATGGCTTACTTTACAGTCATATCCTGAATACAAATCTTTTGAGGGAAAATCACTATAGTAAGTGAAGGACACAGGGACATGAAAAACAATCTCTTCCTTCTTTAGAGTACAGATTTGACTCACAGTTACATGAGTTGCTCAGGGTTATAAACAAGTCAGCAGGACCTCTGACTATTAACTGAAAGACTGACTAATTGACCTCTTCAGTTGCATTCTCCAGCACTATTACAAATAAATATTTACAGAGCTGCATTACTTACCAAGCATGGTAGGGTAAATATCCACAAGAGAAACCACATTTGATACCTGAAGGTTGACTTTAATTCCTGGCCCCATCATCAAAAGCGGAACATGTGCACTGGCCTCATACATGCTCATTTTATAAAACTGTCGATGTTCCATGGCCAGCTCTCCATGATCTGAGGAGTATATGACAATAGTTTTCTGAAGAAGATCTAATTGATGAAGGGCCAAAATAATTTCACCTACAATAGAAATCATGATAAAACTATTAATTAGCTTTCAGTTCATGTTTTATTCTATCACATTAAGTTGATAACAACTCTACCCTATAAGGGTTTGTCACTATGCTTTTTAACATCTGAATATTACCTACTGTTCTCAAGTTAAGTCTCAAGTTGACAGTGGTCTGTCTACTGCTTGCTCTTCAGTTGACTAGCAAGGAGGAAGAAAATATAATACCCACGGGAACTCTTGCTCAAAGCTGCTTATCTGGAGATCATGCTGGCTTGCCTTCTAGGTTTCTATCAGAGAATAAGGGAAAAAAATCTTCCCCTTAGTGCCTTGAGTGAGAAAAGAAAGATCAGTCGGATATCAATACTTCACATGTCTCAGATGATAAAAAAGATTGGTATCACCTCTGACCCACAGTTTCTGTGCAACAGGAAGTGATAAGAGCAGTCAGAACTCCTCTTTTCTGCTACTTTTTCTCCCAAATCTCTATCCAATCACCAGATAATGCTCATAGAGGTGGCTGAGGATTATGGAAATCCACCTTTGAAGAAGGGCTGGAAGCAGGACAGACAGTGTACAAGTTTGATTTAGCATCTTCTTGGATAGGGAATAATGGGACAGTAAAATTCCTCTGACCAGTTCCAGTCTCACTGTTCTCAAACTTCCTCCTACTGTAATTAAGAGAATCACAAGAAAGTACAGGCCAGAGAGAGGAGTCATCCCTGTTTTGGCAGTTCCTGAATCTGGGTAGAAGAGTCTATATTAATTTAAAAACCTACAGATTCTGAGGTATAGTCAGGATTGACACTCACTGCTCTATGGAGTTATTCGCAGAATTGAGACTCTCTTGATTTTTCAACTAGACGACTGGAATTACTTCCTAATCGGTCTTGCCTCTACTCCTCTTTCCTCTCCTTGTACTATCCTGGTGTCTATCTTTCTAAATTACCTAATCACTTGATCGTGTCACATCCCTGCTTGAAACTTTTTCACAGCTGCCCATTGTCGAATTCTTTAGCATAACAAGCAAGGCCCCTGTCCACTCTCCATACTCAGCGCCCTGGGCTACCTGCTAGACTTTTACCTTTCAGCAATCCTAACCTGCTCAGAACCCCATAAACACACACTATATTAGTTCATGCTTTCTTGCCTCTGCATATACTCTGCCATCTATGGTGAATGCTGTTTCTCCCACAGTCTACTTGACAAATTCCTATTCTTCCTTTATGATGCAGCTCAAACATGCATTATCTCTCTGGCAAAGCATCATTCCTTGCTCTTCTAGGTAGAGGAAATCACTTTGTTCTTCAGGATGCCTACAACTTGCATATTACTGTAGTTACAACATATTGTAATTCTTAGCATTTATGCTCAATCAATAAATGTTTACTGAGCGCTTACTATATGCCAAACACTACGGATATGATGCTAAACACCTAGGATGCAATGTTGAATAAGAATGATTAAAGACTTAAATGTAAAACTCAAAACTACAGAAAACCCTAGAAGAAAATCTAGGCAATATCGATCAGGACATAGGTACAGGCAAAGATTTCATGACAAATTCACTGAAAGCAATTGCAACAAAAGCAAAAATTGACAAATGGGGTCTAATTAAACAAAAGAGCTTCTGCATAGCAAAAGAAACTTATCATCAGAATGAACAAGCAGCCTACGAAATGGGAGAAAATTTTTGCAATGTATCCATCTGACAAAGGTTTAATATCCAGAATCTACAAGGAACTTAAACAAATGTACAAGAAAAAAACAACCAACCCCATTAAAAAGTGGGCAAAGGACATCAATAGACACTTCTCAAAAGACATTTATGAGGCCAACAAACATATTTAAAAAAAGCTCAACATCACTGATCATTAGAAAATGCAAACCAAAACCACCATGAGATACCATCTCATGCCAGTTAGAATAGCAATTATTAAAAAGTCTAGAAACAACAGATGTTGGAGAGGTTGTGGGGAAATAGGAACGCTTTTACACTGTTGGTGGGAACCTAAATTAGTTCAGTCATTGTGGAAGACAGTGTGGCAATTCCCCAAAAATTTAGAACCAGAAACACCATTTGACCCAGCAATCCCATTACTGGATATATACCCAAAGGAATATACATCATTCTATTACAAAGATACATGCACACATGTGTTCGCTGCAGCACTATTCACAATAGCAAAGACATGGAATCAACACAAATGCCCACCAACAATAGACTGGATAAAGAAAATGTGGTACATATACACCACGCAATACTATGCAGCCATAAAAAGAAATGAGATCATGTCCTTTGCAGGGACATGGATGGAGCTAGAAGCCATTATCGTTAGCAAACTAACGCAGGAACAGAAAACCAAACACTGCGTGTTCTTACTTATAAGTGGGAGCTGAACAATGAGAACACGTGAACACAGGGAGGGGAACGATACACACTGGGGGCTGTCAGGGAAGGGAGAGTGTTAGGAAAAATAGCTAATGCATGCTGGGCTTAATACCTAGGTGATGGGTATTAGGTGCAGCAAACCACCTTTTACCTATGTAACACGTTTACCTATGTAACAAACCTGCATACCCCGCACATGTACCCTGGAACTTAAAATAAAAATAAAAGAATGTCCCTGCCCTCATGAAGCTTGTGTTCTTCAAGGGAGACAGATGGTAAACAGATGAAATAATTAGTATTACTACGCAAACAACATGACAAGGTATAAAGCAAGATGAATGATGGAGCTGGCACACTGAGTTAGAGTGGTTGGGGGAGACATCCCTGAGGAGGTAACAACTGAGCTGAGAGCTAAAGACAGAATAAGCCAGCCATGTAGAAAGCAAAGGGAAGGGTGTTCTGGGCAGATGAAACAGAAAATATAAGACCCTGAGGTGGGAAAAGACCCTAGAATGTCTTTAATTTTGTTTGTTTGTTTGTGAGACGGAGTCTCGCTCTGTCACCAGGCTGGAGTGCAGTGGCGTGATCTTGGCTCACTGCAACCCCCGCCTCCTGGGTTCAAGCGATTCTCCTGCCTCAGCCTCCCAGGTAGCTGGGACTACAGGCATGCACTGCCACACCCAGCAAATTTTTGTATTTTTAGTAGAGATGGGGTTTCACCATGTTGGCCAGGATGGTCTTGATCCCTTGACCTTGTGATCCGCTTGCCTCGGCCTCCCAAAGTGCTGGGATTACAGGCATGAGCCACAAATATCTTTAATTAATGAGTGATTTCTTAATAGTATTCAACATACTATATTCCCCCAGTGCCCAACATAGTGCCTGACAGCTAGTAGGTACTTAATGTTTGTTAATAAACACAATGAACAGTATTAAATACTACATGGTGATACGACCGGTGTAGATTTAAAAATTAAGATACAGGCCAGGTGCAGTGGCTCACGCCTGTAATCCCAGCACTTTGGGAGGCCAAGGCGGGCAGATCATGAGGTCAGGAGATTGAGACCAGCCTGACCAACATGGTGAAACCCTATCTCTAATAGAAATACAAAAATTAGCTGGGCATGGCGGTATGTGCCTATAATCCCAGCTACTGGGGAGGCTGAGGCAGGAGAATCGCTTGAACCCGGGAGGTGGAGGTTGCAGTGAGCAGAGACCCTGCCACTGTACTCTAGCCTGGAGACAGAGCTAGACTCTGTCTCAAAAAAAAAAAATTAAGATACAATATATTCCATACACTTTGTAACTTGATGTAAGCAAGTTGCTACATATTTTTCTTCTCTGAAGAGATTTCAAGAGTAGTATTCCCACACTCCCTAGAGCAACATTCTCTCATTTTAACGGATATGGATGAATGAATGGCTATAAATTTTCAAATGCAATTTCTAGTGTGCAAATGGGAGAACATTCTCTAACATCAGAGTATATCAATGAAATACAATTTGACAGATGTGCTCATGATTAAAGAAAATTACTTAAAATCTTATTTGCATTGAGTACTTGGAATTTTTTTTTTTTTTTTTTTTTTTTTTGAGATGTAGTCTTGCTCTGTCATCCAGGCTGGAGTGCAGTGGCACGATCTTTGCTCACTGCAACCTCCGCCTCCCGGGTTCAAGCGATTCTCCTGCCTCACCCTCCCAAGTAGCTGGGATCACATGTGTGTGCCACCACAGTCAGTTAATTTTTGTATTTTAGTAGAGACAGGGTTTTGCCATGTTGGCCAGGCTGGTCTTGAACTCCTGACCTCAGGTGATCCACCGGCCATGGCCTCCCAAAGTGCTGGGATTACAGGCATGAGCCACCGCACCTGGCCAATACATTTTTATACTTGCTATATTATAGATAATTTGCCCACATGGCCTTTTTGCTTCTTGCTGTATACTTTTCTGTTTTTACCCAATGAATTTTTTTTTTAACAAAAAACATTCACTTGTCACTCCCAAAGTTTACTCTGTACAGAAGAGGTGCTACCTACACTTCACTAGTACAATTATGCTTCATTCCTAAGAGTAGCAAAATAAATGACACTGCTTTATGAAAATAGCTTTTGTTATAAAACAGATTTTTAAACTAGGGCTTTTCCACACATGAACTGGAAACTTCCATAGCTCTGTAAGTGAACAGGCAAAACGTTCTTGACAGTCATGTGACGAAGGCAGGTTTAGTTTTGAGTTGGTCTTCAGCTTGAATGAGGGAAGAAAATTCAATATGATTCTGGACCAGAAAATACATGGAGAAACTTTAGTTAGGCCATTCTCTAAAGGGCTTAGGGAGAAGGAATTTGTTTCATGGTTATTGTAAGTTTGGGGGAGTCACAAGATTCCACAAGTAAATTTTCTCATCTCTAGAAAGCTAAGCTGCCTTATAAATACCTATCACATGTGTACCTGTGTTTGGCTGAATACTGATTCCTGTTTAAGGACAGTAAAACGTTTCAAGTAGATGACTGCCTTCTGTGACCCTTTCTTTATGTATGAATAAATCTAAGCATTTATGAATCTGCAAATTTCTGAATCATTAAGATATAAAGAGCTTTTCATTCTGTCAACAATGCTAGTTATCAAGTTTTGATAAGTGTCAAGATTCCTATAGTTATAAGCAACTGCTGTAAGAAATATCTGAGGCTGTTCATGCAAGTCACCAAGCAGCATGATCACAGACTGTTGGAAAAATATTATACTTTTTCTTCATGTAATTGCTTATTAATTATACCACCTACCGAGCATGGCATCTGTCTCAGCACACATAGCATAATAAAATGCTCTAATATTCTTAATTTCTTTTTCTGTAAATCTTCCAGTGCAGTTTTTTGTATAAGAAGAGTAATAATCTACAGGGTGCATTTCTGACAAAGGTGACCACTTTGGGATTTTGATAGCATCACGAGACACCTAAAAATGGGAGAAAAAACTTAGTTATGCTAGCAAAATAGTGCTATTTCTTTCCTCCAATAAGTATGTATAGTGAAATCAACAATGTTTAACTACTTAGAATAGTAGAAAAGAACAGCTGTAAATATGTAAATAAAATAGTAAATCAATACATAAATTAGGAACAAATTGTTAATACTATCATAACAACAGAAGGTATATATCAATATCTGTATATATATCATGAGGTAGTGGTAAAATTTTTAAAAATTATACAGGCCACCGAAAAATATGAGCTTTATTAGACAGTACATGCTAGTCCAGAAAAGTATCCAAGCACTTTAATATACAATTGTGTGACCAAAACTTCAGAATCAACAACCTAAGAACATGGACTCCTTTTCTCTAATAATTCACTAGTAAGAATGACAATATCTAGTGAGATACGCAAGTGCTTGTCAAAAACAAATATGACTTTTAAACACATATAAATGCTTACTTACAGTGCTGGTAAAAAGCAATTAAACTAGATCTTTAATTCACATTTATATTTTAGTTACATAACTTTCAAAAAGTTCATTTACTTAGTATTTGGTTGAAAGTCATTTAACTGATTTCATTTGGCTAGTAATAACTCCAGACAAATTTTTGAAAATGAAACCACTTAGAACTTTTAAAGAAGATATAAAGTATCTAAAACACTGACATTATTTTATTTAAAATAGGATGGACTAAATAGTGTTTCTGAGTAGTTTTTTTAGACTAACTTTTATTTCTTATTTCTGTAGGTTTTTGAAGAACAGGTGTGGCTGCATGAATAAGTTCTTTAGGGTGATTTCTGAGATTTTGGGGCACTCATCACCCAAGCATTATACACTGTACCCAATTTGTAGTCTTTTATCCCTCACCCCTATCCACTTTCCCCCAATCAGTCCCCAAAGTCCACTGTATTATTCTTACACCTCTGAGTCCTCATAGCTTAGCTCCCACTTAGGAGTGAGAACATACAATGTTTGGTTTTCCATTCCTGAGTCACTTCACTTAGAATAATGGTCTCCAACTTCACCCAGGTTGCTGCAAATGACTCATTCCTTTCTTATGGCTGAGTAGTTATTTCATGGTCTATACACCACAATTTCTTTATCCACTGGTTGAGTGATGGGCATTTGGGCTGGTTCTATATTTTTGCAATTGTAAATTGTGCTGCTATAAATGTGTGTGCAAGTATCTTTTTCGTATAATGACTTCTTTTCATCTGAGTAGATACTATGCAGTGGGATTGCTGGATCAGATGGTAGTTCTACTTTTAGCTAAGGAATCTCCACACTGTTTTCCATAGAGGTTGTACCAGTTTACATTCCCACCAGCAGTGTAAAGTTGTTCCCTTTCCACCACGTCCCCGCCAACATCTATTTATTCTTATTTTTTTGATTATAGCCATTGTTGCAGGAGTAAGGTGGTATCACATTGTGGTTCCAATTTGCATTTCCCTGCTCGTTAGTGATGTTGAGCACTTTCTTATATATTTGTTGGCCATATGTATATCTTCTTTTGAGAATTGTCTATTCATGTCCTCTTTTTTCTCTGAGATGGAGTTTCGCTCTTGTCGCCCAGGCTGGGGTGCAATGGTGCAATCTCGGCTCACTGCAACCTCCGCCTCCCAGGTTCAAGTGATTCTCCTGCCTCAGCCTCCCAAGTAGCTGGGATTACAGGTGCACACCACTACACCCGCTAATTTTTGGTTTTTAGTAGAGATGGGGTTTCACTATGTTGGTCTGGTTGGTCTCGAGCTCCTGACGTTAGGTGATCCACCCGCCTCAGCCTTCCAAAGCGCTGGGATTACAGGCCTGAGCCACGGCACCCAGCTCTATTCATGTCCTTAGCCCACTTATTAATGGGATTGGTTTTTTTTTTTTTCTTGCTACTCTGAGTTCCTTGTAGGTTCTGGATATTAGTCTTTTGTTAGATATACAGATTGTGAAGATTTTTTCACACTCTGTGGGTTGTTTACTATGCTGATTATTTCTTTTGCTCTGAAGGTTTTTAGTTGAATTAACTGATTAGTTTTTAAAGCAACTTAAAATTGATTTAAGATTACACATTTCAAAATACAGGTAGACCACGCATCACGTGGTTTGATATGCATGAATTTCAGTTATCACAGTTTTGTTAAATAACAGCAGTCCCCTAACAAAATTACTCTGGTAGACTTCAGTTACCAGGGTATGTTAACTGTGACTAACCGCAAAAAGTACAAACTTTCACACTGATATGCTGCTAGCTCTTTAGTATAAATCACTGAGTATACAACAGATACGTATGCCATTCAGTGACTAATCATGTTGTTTCTTTTAAAATGTGTCAGTGATTAGTTATCTGGTACACGCACAGACAACAAAACATGTACTTGTATCCTAGTGATAAATTAATGTGACACTTTATAAAAAGGGATAATGAAGAGAAGTCAACAAAGATGAACATCCAGTAAAAAAAGGAAAAGTGACAAGGCTGGAATTTAAATTCAAATCTAATGTAAATGAAGTTATAGAAGAAATAGCTGAGCTGGGAATGTTGACACTGCTGTCATTCAAGAGACATTAGAAATATAGCCAGAGGAACTGAGTGAAGGCACATTTACCAGCATAAATGAGGAAGGTTGTTGTGAAGAAAAAGATAAAGATGCACCACAGAAAGCAATATTGGCAAAATTTTTCACATTAAAGGAACTTGGAGATATATCATTACATTGAAAGTGCAAAAGCTAAAATGTTGGAAGGTAATCCAAATTTAGAAGAAATAATGACAATTTGCCAAGTCTTAGAGAAGATGCTTTCTCTGTATCATAAGTTTTATTATGAGAAGGCAAGCACTCTTCAATCTACTGGTAAGTTTTTTTAACCAAAAAAATTCCCGCTTTAATTCCCAGTGTTTCTAGCATTTTCATTATTATGTACTACATAAATATTAGTTTATTTTTTCTTTTCCATTTTTAACCAAAAGTAACACAATTTAAAATATTTTGATAAATGTTTTTAAAGGTGCCAGAAAATGGTCATTTTTCCCATTTATTAAGGTTGTTTTATATGGTTTCAGCTTGCATGGTCATTTTTACAATCTGGAACAGTGCAAAGTGAGGACGGCCTACATTTCTAAGAGAATGCCTTTTAGTTTCTCTTTTTATAGACATATCCTTGGCAAATGTATTCAATCCAGAAGTACGCTTCTGACTTTTAACACTTATTTTATTTCTGTAAAACTGTGCCTTTAGTTTTTATCTAACTAGTTATTGGTCAAGTTTGAATACACAATTTTCAATTTTTTCTTTAAAAGTGATAATAAAAGAAACAATGGGCGAATACCCATAAGCCACATATTTAAATCTAATTTTGAGCACACACAATGTAGTTACTTACTTTTCCAAGCCAATAAAGAGATGTGTGAAATGTTGAAGATCCAAAATTTTCTCCAGAAGATGGTGAAGGGTAAGGGTGTGGTAAATTTAATCCCAAGTAAAGAACAAATGGTTCAGTGTAATTAATTGCTTCCTTTCTTAACCAATTTATTGCTTTGTCTGTATTCTGCCAATCCCTTTCCATCACTCTGACTTTAGTCCTATTATGGATAAGATTAACCATGGGTCTGCCTTCTTGTCTGAGTAAGAAAGCAACATCTCTTGTCCATGCTTCCACACGATTACTGAGGGAGCAAAAACACACGTATATTGTCAGGTATATTAAAAAGTTTTAAAAACGTACCAAGCATACATTAAGAAAACAACATGGAAAACAATTTTTAGGTTCAGTCTTGTAAATGTTCAGAATAACTATATTAGATCTAAAAAAGAAAGTTATTGAGCATTACAGATTAAAAAAATAGAAAAAAAGCCAAGAATCGAATATTCACTTATGTGTTCTTTAAAACTACAAAAGATTATGTAGAATGGTTAACTTTTCTTACAGCAAGATATTTAAACAAAATGTTTCAGATTTCTAGTATTTCTTCTTTACTAAATTTTCTAACATTTTTATTTTTTCGCTTAGAAGATATTATTCCTAACCAAAGCTACTATAATTTCCTTTTATCACTGAATATTTATAGTTTTAAAAATATACCTACCATGTATACTTCATGTGTTGCTGAAGTTTCAGGTTTAAAATTGTTTCCAGCTCTATCTTTTCTTATTAAAAGAACAATTTTAACTATAATCTGAGCTATCTAAGCTAAAAGTGATATAAATTTCATATCCATTATAAACCAGAGATATTTTCTTTATTACTGATTTACAAGTTAAATGATTCAATTAATTCACTTTCTCAAACAAAAAATTAATTCACTTTCTCTCAATCTTTATTTTTTCTGACTGCTTGATTTTTCTCAATCAAGCTCTAAGCATATGTAGCTGACATAATTGGTTGGATAGCAGTCCTAGGCATTTCTAGAAAGTTTGCTTTTTAAGTTTCTGTTGAGATAAGTATCTCTGAAGCGCTCTATCAACAGAGAAAAGTGTTTTAAAAATCCAGATACCAACTCATAAACAAAAAATATTTTATACTAAAACATAATACTGCTCTTAAAAGAAATTGCAATCCATATAAAATGACTAACAACCCATACATAAGTTAAAATAGAAAAATTTTATACCCTGCCTTTTGAATGCAGGTAAATAAATTTAAATAGCTACAATAAAAATTCATTTTTCTTTTAGATATTCAATATATTTTGATAAAAACAATAAAAACCATAATTTCAGCAGAATTATATCTAACAGATCCTAATTAATTCTAACAGATGGGAAACCCTAAAATAGGAAGTTTTGTATTCATCACACTATCAAAACAATCTGACATTGGTGTCTCATCTTTTGCTTAAATCACAGCTAAACTCTTACTATATGTGACGATTACTATTGTTGCAGAGGTGGAATTTTAGGGGTTTATAACACCAGCAGTATGTGTGGTAGAACTCAGATTCTGAGAGAAGGAATAGGACACTGAGATTTATATAGTGTGTTTAGGAACCAAAGTACTTTCTTTTCAGTCAAAGAGTATTACATGAGAAAATATGGCTGAGAACCTATTACAACAAGCAAGCTTTTAATACAACCTAACTAGTTGCCACTCTTTGGATTAACTCAGGTTAGACTATTGTCCTGACTATGCTAACTGACCTAACCACTGGACTTCACGATGTAGTCTAGACCATGAGCGAGCCTAGGCTATGTCAAGGAAAGATTTTCAAGCCTTGAAAGACGGCTATATTGAACCCAGTTTGCTGCATCTTTTGCTACAACAGTGATTAAGTGTGACATCATTTAACCTTTCTGGTAATAAATTTATGCCCTCTCCCTATTTTTTTTTTAACTGTGCTCCTGAGATTCTTTTAACCAAGGTCCCCTTAAGCGTAAAATGCCTCAAATCAAATTAATTTTGGCCTACTCTAATCATTATGGCCAGATTTCAAACTTGGCTTTATAACTAAACAATATGCAATTGTCCTCTAACTAAATAATATGTGATTTCTCTATTATCTTAGTGGTATCCTCCCTTGTCTTTTCCTAAGTATGGCTTTAGCGTGATTCCCATAACTACTGGTACTTAAGTAGAGTTATAACAAGTGATTTCAAGCACTGCTAAGGCAGCAGAGACAAGATTATGGTTAAAGGTAAAAGGTATTTTTACCTTTCTCAAATTTTTTCACTTCTTTGATTAGTTGACCCATGTTCACTGTGCCTAAAGTGTAAAATAACAATTTATTTCTTTACAACTTAGTGAGGAAGAACATGAGTATAAAGTGATGTATTTAGTAGATGAATATACTACAGTACTTTAAAATCATTTAGCACTCTTTAATGTATTCAAAAATATTAATAATTATAATTAATGACTCTCCATTCTACTTTCACTACTCCCTGGGCCAGCCCAACCTTCCTGGGCCATCATGAAGCACAATACGAGCAGTAGATGCAGCCTAAGCAGTAGGCTGCCACAGGAGCGGCAATTCTTAGTCCAGAAAGTCTCTCTTTCCGGTCCAAGGTAGCTTCCAGTCCGTGAGTCCGACGAGTAAAATATGGAATGAGAATATGAATATGCAACTTCATAATCTATTACAATTACAATAATAAGATAACTCTTTTGACATTATAATTCTCTCTACTAACCAGTGTATCCAGACCCTTCTTATAAGAGTGATGGTCTCTTAATCAGGCTAAACCATTGCACCTGGAAATCATATCGTTCGATCATATTCTCAGAGCTACTTCTTTGTCTCATTGTTCTAAGTGTTCTCCCCTGCCACCAGTAATTGCTATAACTTCTTCCAAATATAAGCTTTCTAATTACTTAACCACTGGGAGTATTTTGAACCAATTTTTTACCATTCCATTTCTATGTATTTTGTCCAGAATACCAAGACTATGGTTTCAATCAGGACAATTGAAAAGGGCTTGAATCAATGAGAAGGATCCAAAACTACCTGTGGCTCAGATATTTTATGATTCAGTGGCTGTTCTCAATATAAATTTACCCTGCTGCTTCCAATAGGCACAGCTATACAATGCATAGTTTCCTCTATGCCAGCATCTCTCAAAGTATAGTACAGGGATCCCTGAGGATTCCCAAGACACTCTCAGCGAGCCCATGAGGTCAAAACTATTGTCATAACAGCAAGATGATATTTACCTTTTTCATTCTCATTCTCTCATTACATACAGTATGCAGTGAAAGAGACCACTCTGATCTATCCTGAGGTAGGAGCCCAGATGTGAAGTATATCTATCTCAAGGAAGATTGTCTTCTATAAACTTGGAGAGGCTTCAATGTTTCCTTATATCATGCCCCTCTTGAGTGGCCCAATGTCTACTTCAACTCTTTATAGAAATGTAAGAGGGGCTTTTCTTCTCAAAGGGATACAAATAATAATCATGCATTGCTGATAAAGACAGTCACAATTTGTTACACCTTGTCCTACTTCCACCAGAGGTCCAGTTCTTTATATCCTTGCTACTCCAAGTGTGGTCCATGGACCAGCAACATCAGCAGCTCCTGGGAGCTCCCATAATTCCCACATGTTGTGGGAGGGACCTGGTGGGACTCATCATAATTGAATCATGGGGGCAGTTCCCCCCATACTGTTCTCATGGCAGTGAATAAGTCTCCCAAGATCCGATGGTTTTATAAAGGGTTTCCGCTTTCACTTGATTTTTCATTCTCTCTTGCCTGCTGCCATGTAAGACATGCCTTTCACCTTCCACCATGACTGCGAGGCCTCCCAAGCCACATGGAACTGTGAGTCCATTAAACCTCTTTTTCTTTATAAACTACCCAGTCTTGGGTATGTCTTTATCGGCAGCATGAGAACAGACTAATAAACCATCCTAGACTCACTGAATCACAAAGGGCATCTAAGAAGATGCCCAAGTCATTTGTATGTATATTAAGGTTTGAGATGCACAGCTTAAGAATTTTTTTCTGCAAAAATCCTCAAATTTTAATCAAAATTCAATCAAAATGGAAGATAATTAAAATGGAGCTTCCACAGTAGCCTATAAATAGGAGAATTATTCTACCTTGGTTCAATTCCAGAAAACAGTTGATAGCCAAATATACTATCCAACAATCAGCAGTTTAATTATTTTTAACAACAAAAAACTCCTCACTAATACAAATGAAAAACAAAACTACTTAACACATTACCAACTAATTATTACATAAATTTGTATATTTGGCATTACTGTGTGGGTTTTCTGTGGCAGTGTGCTAAATTCTACTGCTAAAATATTGGATACAATCAGTTTACAAGTAGTACAGGATTAGTTTACATAGTAACAATTATATCTGAAAAAATATACCTTAAAATTGATGATGAGAATATGACAGTTTTCTTTCCACATGAAGTAGGAGCCTAAACATAAACCTTCAGCTTCCTAAGAGTCTACTGAAGATGATTAACTATCTCAGACTTAGACTTCTGTGATCTCTCTCTTTTTCTCATTGTTGATGAGATTGTAGCAGCTAATTTGTTTCTGGTAAATCTCACAATAAAAAATTAGAAAAACGATGATTCTGAAAAATTCCCTTGCAAATTTCTGTATTGACCTAATAAATTCTGTAGGAGAAAAAGGAATCTATATTCATTCCCATTAAATGCTCTTTTCTGGACTTGGTGTGGGGGCTCACACCTGTAATCCCAGGGCTTTGGGTGGCCGAGGTAGGAGGACTGTTTGAGCCCAGGAGTTTGAGACCAGCCAGGGCAACATAGTGACACCTTGTCTCTACCAAAAAAGAAAAAAAAGAATTTTAGCTGGGCATGTTGGTATGTGCCTGTGGTCCTAGCTACTTGGGAGGCTGACTGGGGAGGATCACTTACGGTCAGGAGTTTGAGGCTGCAGTGAGCTATGATCCTGCCACTTTACTCCAGCCTAGGTGACAAAGTGAGATCTCATCTCTTAAAAAACAAAACAAAACAAAACAAAACTCTTCTCTCAAATTTGAGAGAAACACACATACAATTTTTAAAAGGATTTATAAGGCTGTCATCCATCTTCTTTCCATATGATCACTCACAAAAGTAATCTGTTTTAGTTGAACGAATAACACCTACCCTGGCAAATTCAGGTTGGGACATCATTTTTAAATACACATTATTTAAATGCTCAAAATATGCATGCTTTCACATTTATTAGTTTTATTAATTCCAAC